GAAAGTTATATCAACAACTATGACTATCTAATGTTATTACTGTTTAACTTAAGAGAGGATAGCTCAGACAGAATATATGTAACTATGCCTATATCACAGGTGAGGGGTAATCGAGAGGGCAACGATATGCATGAAACTCATAGTAGTTTATATTATTTCGCAACAATAAGACTATCAAAACCAATTTAGAAGCATGCTTGCCGGTAAAAGCAAACACAGCGCTAACAGATATTTTGACGTTGACATTTTCCATGAAGTCTAATTATGCATATTCCATTTTGCAGCAGCCCATTCATATAACACACATAATAATATATCACACGTTATAAATATCCTTCATGATAATGGCTCATCTATGCTAATGACAGGGATTTTTATTTCTGAGGATGCTTCTAACGCCTCATATGCTCTAACGTAATCAGTTTAGCAGTAATTTATGCAAATTTCAGTTTTATCATTTCACTTCAGAGGGCTACTTGCTACCGGAATAAAATACCCTTTTTATGGAGTATATTAGCACAAAGCATTACTTACAATATGGAAATTCCATTTATTAGGCTATTATTAAAAGTTCTTTTGGATTAAGTGAGATGTTAAAATCCTATCTCTTTATACATCTTCTTTCTACTCATGCATTTATTCATTGTAAGCAGCCCCCAAGTGCAATGATCCACCTGGCAATTTTAGCGTTGAAACAATGGTAATGGTTCCAAATTCCCCAAATATTCAAGTGCATATGTTGGCCTCTTGCCAACCTGGAATGTATTTTCTAGAGGATTCCGGGCCTCAAACTCCTGCCACTGACGCTAACGTCAATTCCAGCTTGGTCGCCTATCAATACTATTGCACCGGCACTCGCTACATGAATACTTTGGGCCCTGCTGACCCGTCAAAATTTGTCACGCGATTCCTTTATTCTGGTTATTACATACCAGTGTGCAAAGGTAGATTTTAACATACTTAATTGCATGATGCTTCCTATGCACTTAACATTGTCCTTCTCCTTGCCTGAAAAAATATAACTTCAGAAATGTTAAAGTGATTGGACGACATAAACCGCTTAGTGGTTCTGTGGTCGCAAACAGATTAATTAACAAGAGGGTTTGAATTTAAGCTTAAATTCAATAATTATTTAAAATCTCACTAGAGCTTCTTATTCTGAGTAAAGTAAAATACTTGCATATAATTAGATGCAACGCATTACTATTCAGCCGTACCAAAGTGACTCACGTTAGCCACTATGAAAATGTATGCCTTTACTAACATCAATTCAGTAATAGAATTTTATCAATTGACAAATTCAAAGTTGCCTAATCTATCAAAAACACTTTTGTTACTACATTTTTTTGATACAATCGAAGTTACATCTGTTTATGGACCGCTTTAAGTCAGTAGAGCTTTATAGTTGCGTTTTTTCCCTTATTTGCACAACCCTATTTTAAATTGAGTTAGGTATTCTATTGTGATTCGGTCCGCACTGTCTTAGGAAGTTTTAAGATATTAGAATTATAGATACTCTTATAAAATCATGCCTTCTCTCCATCTCATTTATCAAGATTTAGTCACAGGGTCTTAGAAGACCAAAGTGATTTTTATTATAGCCTAAAGCGAATACGCCTCTCATTCGAACTTCATAGAATAGTTCACAACAAAGACTCATAAATAACTGTTTCCAACCTACCATATGTTGCTTAAAGTGTGTCTAAAGGTTAACAAGGTTTGTAGCCTTATTCGATTTCTAGTTATCACTTCTAGGATAAGTGATTTAGATGAAGGTCCATTATTAGTGATTAACATCTCCTACGACAGGAGACCAGAAAACCTTAAAATTTAAAATAGCATTAAGATGCATTCACAAGAACAAGAAGTTAAGATGCCTCAACCGGAAAAATTAGATATAATAATAACCGAGTATTAATTTTTTAAGGCCTTGAATGGCTTATCAAATATGAACAAAAGTTTACCTCCTTACTAAAATTAGGCTTGATTGGTGGGAATCGAGGCGAGATTAATACCATCCACATATAGCATGTTAACAGGGTTAACTAAATAAATGAAAATTTAATGTGAAAAAGTTGTTACCATCAAGCACAAATGTTTGTTGATTTTGTCAACAGTTTGTGTAGGTTAGAGTAGAGACATGATGCAGTTGGATAAAAGGGGTGTTTGTCAGTAGTTTGTCATCGGATTGCCCTTCAAGCTGTAGAGGCGAATGTTTTTTTAATTGCTGCATAATTAGAAATAATGCAAGCTGATAAACAGCTAGCAAAAATAATTGTATAATGCATGAAATAATATAAAAAATGTCATTATATTTCATATTATTTTACCTAGTTGCAACATGTGAATACATACCTGGCCTTCTGAATAATGTTCAATCACAGCCCCAGTTGCCTAATAACAGCAGTTCCATAATCTACGACTTCAACTCGGTCATTCACCTCGTATGTAGCTTGGGTTATGTTAGCTCCAGCAACTTTCTCAGCTCTAATACCAGTTTGACATGCCAACAGTCAAATGAAGATCCTACTAAGGGCGTCTGGATCCCACCAAATTACCAGGCGTGCATCCGTAAGAATAAAATTCCCTTCATAATACCCAGTTCATATTTTGCTTTTTTCTACTCACTTATAAATAATTATATTCTTCTCCCCATATGGCGTATTGAATATTGCCTCAAATACATAGGTCTTTTACAGTGGTTGGAAACAGACCTTAAATAACAACTTCACTTTGTAAATTCATAAAAATGTTCAAAAAAGGGTCGAAAATATATCAGCTTTATAAGATTATGCCACAACTGCATTTGAAACAATTTTCCCCTCCGGCTAGCTTTTCTCAGTTACGTTGGGATACATTCTCTCAAAGGAGCCTGAAAGAGGTTTGAGCGTTATTGCCTAATTGTAAAATATTGTTTAAATGATGAATAATTAACAATGGCATGCTATCATCTGATCTTATTTCGGCCCACATAACACGTAGCTCAGCATCAGTTGTCCAGCCAGCATTTGATTTCCTTATTTTACCTAACACATAAAAATTGATTAGCTAATGTTATTTTAAGATGCCACTACTAACTCTAGCAGAACATTTGCTTATAAAAGCCAAACGGCTGCAGTACAACGAGATTCATCCATCCTCATCTGGGAAAGATCGACCAATGAATCTCTTCTTCATGCACTTTCATCCGAAAGGAAGGTCCCCCTAACAATGTCATCTCAGGAGATCCATCGAAACCGAGTTTCTCTTCGTATCTATAAATAAAGTAGTCATGGAATCTATACTATAAAATGACCTTAAAAAATCAACGCTTTTGAATATCAAAGGTAGTCTCGAAAACCTAGTAATGAAACGAAAAATGAGTATCTAGTCAATTACTATGGCAATTACAACTTTGCTTAGTCGACTCTCCAACCACAGAAATATGATATCGTGAAGAACTAGGTCTCCTTGAAACTCAATGGCCCTCTTGGAAATGTGGCTTGGTGGCTAGTGTGTCGAGGCTGTACTCCACAATACTCAGGTTTGAGCCCAGTTGTGGATGCTGATGAGACCTGGACGACGTAAAAACTGTAATCTAACCTGGATGATAATACCCTTTGGGAAGCAAGGAATTGCGAAATTCAGTGGGAAAATGAGGCCTACGCATACAATTGCGGGGGAAAATTCAAAAAACATTGCTTCATCACCTTGAACGAGCTATTATAAATACAGCTCTTACATTCAATAAGGAAAAGTTTTATAATAGAATGAGTAGGTTGCAATAATCCATTATACATTTCAAGACTTTTCAGCTGCTTAGTGAAGATCTTCTATTTAAGTTTACAATAATTAATATAGACAATAGCTCTATAGTTTAAATCTAGCGAAATGGTATAATTAATATGAGATCTAACCACCCTAATTCGTTTAGGGTGATGAAGGACTGGTAGTAGAATTTTCCCACAGTAATATGAGTAGAGCTGACATTTCCATTGAATTTTACATAGCCTTATGATATGGAAAAAACCTGGCCTTCCTTGAAATTCACATCTGCTCTGTGAATTTAAAGCTATGTGAAATTTAATGGAAACATTACTTTTACTCATATCATTGTGGGAAAATTCTACCACCAGTCCTTCATCACCATAAACGAAATAGGGTGAATACATCTTATGTTACTGATTTACCAGTAGGATCGGAACTCTGCTTATAAACAAAAAATTGTATCATGCATTGTTAAAATAAGTAAATATGTATATGAATTGGATTTGTTTATAAAATACCTATATAAAGAGTCATCAATTTAAACACGTTACTATTTCATCAATCACCCTTTATTTGTGTTTTATTCAAGCTATTCGATGCAATAATACAGAACTTCGTAGCATGCTGCCGAAAAATAGCCTTATGCTGAGTGCTCAAAATACCATTACTCAACGTATCTATGGAAAGATGGAGGCAAATCAGTTTAATCTGCATGGGAACGTTGTAAAAATTGTTTGTCAGTACGGCGAATTCTTCGATGATCGTACCAGCCAGAAGAATCTAAAATGCGATTTGGCGCAGGATTCCTCTATCACTGGTACCTGGTATGGCTATGCTGGGACTATTTTGCCCATTTCGAAGACTTGCGTGGGTAAGAGAGGCACAAATATAACACGAATGGACATAGCATAAAATGTATTTCCCATTTTGCTTGAATTATTGAAACTAGAAGAAGGTTATACTACATGATGTTCTCAAGACGAACAGGGCTGGCGATATCTGATTTGGCTTCCCTCGAAAAAAACGATATATTGCATTGATTAATTAATATTTTGGCAAGCTCAGAAGTATTTTATTCTTACGTATAGCATTTTTCTGGTTATTTCTTTGTGATTCTAATACAATTTCGAAGGCTGGCTGAGGCCTATAATAACTAGGGATAGTAACTAAGTGATCATCGAAAAGCGTGACTGAGTTGTGGCTTTTTTCCATTTTATGCGTACATATTCCAGTTTTTAAACTGAAGGTCTTGTGTCACTTAAATGGAATTGGTTTTAGGAATGCCACCTTTCATACATAATGTCCGATGCATGAAAAAATAAAATTAGCCCGTTTTCACCGGAATAGGAGCTTGAGATAAAAACCTTATAGGGCTCATTTTATTAGATTTGACAGCTGCGACAGAAAGGGTTTATGAGCGAGCATAGTTAAAAAATGAAGGGAAAAATTATATCCACTTTATAAGGTTAATACTTTTTGAAATGTAATTAATGCTTCTATAAACCTCGGGCTCGTCTTGACACACTCCACAGCAAGTATTGGAATTATTTGCCCACTATATTGTTGTAGAACTGTAAAAACTAAGATTTTTGGGTTTTCTGGACTGATTCGAATTCTGACCATACTAAATGGCAGAGAGGGCTTGCTTTTTATAATTAAATCTCATTTTTCACGATTCTAAAAATGATATTCTCATTCACGGGACCGAAATATTGAAAATTCCCCAAATCTCTTTGTGAGGAGCGTGCTTTGCACTGAAACCCATGATAAAAATGTAACCCAAACGAGGAATGAGTTATGAAATTAAGGAAGTAAGGAAAGGTAAAGATATAAGTGACGCGCAAATCGACGTTTCGAATAATGCTGCTGACGTTAATAAAATGATCGGGGGAGTTCGAAGCAGAGATCCCCCCTTGACAAGAACGGTCTTTCTGGATACATGGTAAAATTAAATAAAAGCATTTTCTGAAATTATTTTGGGCAGATTCACTATCTATTTAATACATAAGCTGATTAAAGCTTGTTTGGCTTCAACAATAAGGTCAATTATGACTGCGGAACAAAGCCGCATTACAAGCGAAGGTTACTAGAACGTTGTAAAGATAATTATGCGATTTGAAGAACCCGTTCTTAGAAATCGATAGGGACAACACTTGCTTGATTTAATATTCCTTTAAAGATCATACATTATACAAAGCTCTTATTTTCAGTTGCCTCATTTAAACAACTCTCGCATAACCCTTTTGGAAGACAGGTTCTTCCAACTACTAAAATATAGCAAAGTCTCTATGAGCTAGAATACCTTTCAAAATTATTTGCTCGTCAAAACCATCTGCCCTTGAAATCTCCAAATTAAGAGATAGTAGCCACAGAATAAGTAAGGAATGAATTATTTGTGAGTAAGGTACCGCTTTGTAATTCTCTCTGCTTAACTTATATTCATTCTTATATTTATACTCTGCAATCTTTGTCATTACAATTAAATTTTCGTGATATTTAATGCAAATATTTCATTTTCACGAATTTTTTAGGCCTGACTTTCTGATGGCATTACGTGCTTTTCCTCTGACCAATTTCGAAAGGCTAGAATGTTAGAATAATAATTTTGACCTAGAAATTTTCTTTAACTTAATTAGAACGAATTGTACAAATAATTCTTGCATATGATAAACAATTTAACAAGTTTTTAAAGCGAGATAGAGGAATTCAAAATAAAATCCAAAAAAGCAGAAACTCAATTTTTAAGCATAAGATGCATCTTTTCTTAC